GACAGCTGACACAGCAACCAATGCAGTAAACAAATCTTGTTTGGATCCTGATGTAAACAAATCAATTGTAAGAAAGAAAGAGGGAGGGGAAGAGAATTAGAGAAATTTAAACATGTTAAATGTTTGATTATATTAAGGAATTATTATTGATTTTTTAAATGTGAAAAAATATGAAATAATTGTGGTGATTTTAAGCTGTTTAAGATCATTGTTTTTTTTTTTATTTTCTTGACCCTTTGTGTTTTTTTAATTCACTTTGATGTTCTATTAATATGTATCATGTTTGTGTGCTGCTGCAAGAATTCTGTGCAGCACTTTTGTTTTGTTTTTGTGTTTAAAAAGTTTTTCTTTTTAATTGACAAATAAAATCATATATTTATGGTGTATAACATCATGTTTTGACATTGTATACATGTATTGAAACATAACTCTGTATCCCACAAATATGTATAATCAAACGTTTCAATTTAAAAAAGAAGATAGTCTTTTATCTGGGGAAAAAACCCATGATGTTTTGAAATATGTGTACATTGTGGAATGGCTAACTCCAGCTAATTAACACATGCATGATCTCACATACTAATTTGTGGTGAGAACACTTAAAGTCTACTCTTTTAGTAATTTTCAAGTATATACAACATATTGTTAACTATAGTCACCATGTTGTACAACAGATCTCTTGAACTTATTCTTCTAACTGAAATTTTATACCCTTTGACCAACTTCTCTCCCACCACCTGCCAACCCCCAGTCCCTGGTAAACACCATTCTACTCTCTGCTTCTATGAGTTTGACTTTTTTAGATTCCACATGTAATTGAGATCATGTGGTGTTTGTCTTTCTGTGCCTGGCTTATTTCACTTAATATAAAGTCCTCCAGGTTCATCCATGTTGTTGCAAATGACAGGATTTTCTTCTTTTAAGGCCGAATAGTCTTTTACTGTGTATATATACCACATTTTCTTTATCTATTCATCTGTTGACAGATACTTAGGTTGATTCCATATGGCTAGTGTGGATAATGCTACAAAGAACATGGGAGTGCAGATATCTCTTTGCCATACTTATTTCACTTCTTTTGGATATATACCCAGTAGTGGAATTGCTGGATCATAATGGTAGTTCTATTTCTAATTTTTTAAAGAACCACCAGACTGTTTTCCATAATGGCTGTACTAATTTACATTCTCTGTGGGGCATATTGAATGTTTTATAGTAGATCTGATGAATTCTAGGATCAGGACTCTATCTGGAGAAGAGGTATCCTTGATTGGAAGCCTCTCATGTGCTCTGAATCAAGACTGAACGTTCTAGAAAGACACCTTGAAGTAGCTCTTGCCCTCCCTGCTGGAGAGAAAAGGCTTTCTTTAAGTCACTGAATCCAGATGACAGTGAAGAAGAGAGAGAGAAGTTACGTGTCCTACAGGCCTGAGGAGAGAGCTCTGAGTTTGCCACAACTGCGTGAACTCCGTGGTCCCAGGCACTCATCTTGACCCCATGAGACAATCTATGATTCTTCCAGAGGAGCACCACCCAAGAGACCGCCATGAGACAAACCTGGGTGATTCTTCCTTGACAGACCCCAGTGTTCCATTTACAACCTGGAGGCCAGTCAGTCCTATCATGTCAGTCATTCATGATTGCATCCCAACCCCCTCTGTTGAGCTGTCCTCTTCTATATACACAGCTCCATGTTTCTTTTCCTCTGTCCCAACCTTTCTCTTTTTTCTCTCTTTGTCAGATATTTACTTGGTGCCCTCTGGAACCTTCATGCAACTAATAATAACTGTAACATAAAACACTTAAACAGCACATATTACGCACAAGAAGCTGTTCTAAGTGCTTTATATATATTACTTGCATTAACTCATTTAATCCTCACAATGCCTCTAGGATGTAGGCTTTGTTGTTATGTCCACTTTGCAGATGAAAAAACTGAGGCACAGAGAAGTTAATTTACCGATGATCACACAGCTGGTAAGTGATAAAGCTGGGATTTGAATCTGGAAGTAGAGCTTCAGGATCTGTGCTCTTAGTTATTAAAATATCCTGCCTTTCCCTAGGATAAATATTTCCCTACAAACTTAACATTTCTTAGAATGATCCTTCAATCATATTATCTCTTATTTGCTCAAAAAAGTGCAACAAACTACTAACGTGTGCTTGGCTAGCCACTTGGAACACTTCCACAACCAGGAAATACAGCCAACACAGAAAAACAACCTCCGTGAACTATGAACTCATAATTGAACATTAGGAACTACATGAGGAAAATCATAAGAGAGAGTTAGCAGACCCAACAAATGGCAAAATTAACACTTTTAGAAAAACACAATAGAATAACGTGAAAGAAACTATAAGCATTTTTTTTTTATTTTTCCCCTTTTTTTGTCTTTTTTCATGACCGGTAATGGGATCACAACCCTCAGTGTCATGCCTGTACCGCAACTGGCAACGGGATCGCAACCCTCGGTGTCGCGCCCGCACCGCACTCAGCCAGTGAGTGGACCGGTCTCTATATGGGCTCCGAACCCTTGGCGGGAGCGCCTCCGCGCTCTCAAGCGCCGCACTCTACTGAGTGCACCACCGGGCCAGCCCCAGAAACTATAAGCATTTTAAAAATGATTACAGATTAAAGAAGGAATGGATGCCATAGTAGAATAACTAGACACTAGGAATAAATAGGCCATTTGAAGTGGCCCCAAGCACAAACATTTAAAAGAGGGTGGTTTGATTACCTCCAGATGAATTTCGAACTGATAAAAGGGAAAGTAGACTTGAAAAATATCCAGTTTTCAGAAGAGAATAAATTGATGGAAAGTATGAATGAGTGGTTACGAGACATAACCAATAGAATAAGATCTAACATAAGTCTAATGAGAGGTCCAGAAGAAGATAATAAAGAAAAAGAGGGCAGGGTGAAATTCAAAGAGTCAATGGGTGAAAATTTTCTAGAAATAAGGAAAACGTAAATCCTAGAATTGAGGAAACTTGCAAATTTGCAGACATTTTAGTGAGACTGCAGAACTTTTAATGAGCATATGGAGAAACCAACTTTCTCATATCCATTTGTGGAGAGTCATTTGGCAATATACATAAAAACGTGCAAGCCATTTGACTTAGAAATTCTGCTTCTAGGAATTTATCCTCAGTAAGTATTCAGTTCAATTGATGTTGATTTTAGCATTGTATAATAATGCAATATTAGAAGCAGCTTAAAAACCCCATCAATATATAATAGATAAAATTAATTAGGGTATAACCATAAAAGGACTATTGCTTTTTTGTAGCTATTAAAATGATGATAAAAGACATTAAACCGTAATCCAAGATCAGAGTACCTGTCTTAGTCTGTTTTCTGTTGCTATAACAGAATTCCTGAGACTGGATAATTTGTAAAGAAAATAAATTCATTTCTTACAGTTCTGGAGGCTGGGAAGTCCAAGGACATGGCTCCAAGCATCTGATCAGCTTCTGGGGAGGGCCTTCTTGCTTTGTCATGACATGGTGGAAAGCATACATGGTAAGAGGGCAAGAGCATGCCAGCCTCAGTCTCTCTTGCTCTCCTTATAAAGCCATCAGTTCCATCATGGGGGCCCATGCTGATGACCTTATCTAATCATAATTACCTCCCTAAGGCCCCACCTCCAATCAACAAATGAATTTGGTGATTAAATTTCCAATACATGAAATGTGGGGGACACATTCAGACCATAGCGGTGTTCTAGCCAGGGTACACACATACCCCTAGACACATCATATTCAAATTCCTGAAAACCAAAGATAAAGAGAAAATCTTAAAGGTAGTTAGAGAGAGAGAAAAAAAAAAAAGACACATGACACAGGAATGAAGGTAAGAACTAAAGCAGATTTATTATCAGAAACTGCAATTCAGAGGACAATAGAGTGACATCTTTCAAGTGCTAGGAAAAGAAAATCCATCTTAACTCTGAATATTATGCCTGTGCAAATGTCTTTAAAAAATGAAGGAAAAAGGCATTTTCAGACAAACAAAAACTGAGAGAATTACTTACTAGCAGAACTCCACTACAAGAAACATTAAGAGAAGTTCTTCAGGAGGAAGGAATATGATTCTGGACAAAAACTTAAGATATTCACAAAGAAATGAAGATTTCCAGAAATGGTTAAAATGAAGATAAATATAAAACACTTCTTTCTTATTTTTAATTATTCTAAAAGCTAATTGACTGCTGAAAGAGGAAATTGTAGCAATGTACTTTTACATAAAAGTAAAATGTATCACAATGAAAGTGCAAAGGTTAGGAGAGAGGAATTAAAAATACACTGTTTTAAGATTCTTATACTACATGTGAAGGAGTGTAACAGTATTTGAAAGTAGACTGTAATTAAAGTGTATATGGTAGACATAGGGCAATCAATAAAATAAGAGAATTAAAGTAAAAGAATTTTACTCAAGTAAAAGAATTAAAAATAATAAACTGATAGTGAAGATAAAATGGAATTATAAAAAATGTTCAGGGCAGGACTTGAGTGGGGAGCTAGGAGCGTGGCCCTTGCTGGTGGAGGGTGCTGGCTGCCAGACCATACTGAGCTGAGCTTGTGACAGGCTCACCTCAGTGCTGTGGGGGGACACTCGTGCTGCTGTCCTTGGTCTCCCTTAGGTGCCTGCACGCATCAAGGTCAGAGCCCTCAGCAGACCTGAGGGAGAGGATGGAGGAACTGCCCTGCAACTTTGACCTGGTGCTGCTGGAGATCCTAGTGTGCCCCCTCTCCAAAAAGTGGCTCAGATATAAAGCACTGACAAATGAATTGATTAATGAAGAGTTGGGAATAACCTATCCAATCATTGATTGGATTCCTAATATGATACCACAGGCAGCTAAGATGACACAGCAGGGTAAGAAGCAAGAAGAAATAGAGCAGCACCAGATCATAATCTTAAAAAACCCACAACAACTAAATTTTCTTAATACCATGTACCTTTTAAAACAGTGGTGGGTAATAAGTGAAGGAGAAGAATGTTTCTGTATCTTTCTACCTTGACTGCTCTCATTCCACTGGCCTCTTTAACAGGACTATTCTACTTGGCCTCTGTGGAAGAAAACTTCCCACAGGGCTGCACTAGCACGAGCAGTCTTTGCTTTTACAGTCTGCTCTTGCCAATTACTATCCCAGTGTATGTGTTCTTCCACCTTAGGACTTGGATGGGTATTAAACTCTTTAGGCATAATTAATGCAACCAGAGCCAAGATCATATGTGTATTAATGATATGTCTTGGGCATCTATCTCTGAAAGTTCAACTAGGTGGAAATAGTGGAGACCCATTTAGTTTGCAGGAAAGATGCTTTGCCTTGTATATGTCAGGCTTAGGACTATGGGAGACTTACACTGCAGAAGCTTCTTTTATTGTACTCTTGTTCTGCCCTTGTTTTTGAAGGTTCTAACTTATAGCTGCCATATCAGAAGAAACATTTTGACAAAGTACCTTGGAGATTAACGCCCCGAATCTACATCTGATGACTATTCTTATCCCATTTATCTAAGTCATTTAAAATTTTATTTTTTTGTTTAGCTTCAAAGCTGTGTAGTGAAGTCACATGTTAGGGGTGATTGAAATAATTCCAAAGAAGCTATGTTGGAATAGTTGTAGATAAATTCATTTGAACTAGTTTGATATAAAACCATATAATAAAATGGAAATTTCATGTACTTATAAAAATTCTGAGTTTGTAAAATTACCTTTCATTTTCTTTGGCATCAAATGCTTACATTAATAATAAAATAAGATGTTGACACTTTCCCATTAAAAAAAAAAATTCAGTTAATCCAAAATCAGGAAGTTGAAAAAAAAAAAAAAAACAAAGAAGAGATGGGACTAATAGAAAACAACTAGCAAGGTGGCATATTTTAATCCAACCATACCAATAATTACATTAGATGTAAATGTTCTGAATATAACAATTAAAGGATAGAGATTAGATTGTCATATTAGTTTAAAAAAAGCAAGAGCCAACTGTATGCCATTTTAATATAAAGACATAGATAGGCCAAAAGTCATTCTTATTGTTATCGGGCAGATTAATTAAAAGGATTTTCTAATATCCCCTTTACCTAACTCTTTTAATTCTTTTAACCCAAGAAACTGCGTTCTTGGTTACCTTTTTGACTGCTAACTGTAGCAAAGAAGACATTTAAAAATGTATTCTATACAAAGTTCTTTGTTTCTTCTATCATGGGGTTAGTATTACTTAACTTGGTTAGACTTTTCTCTTGTATCACGGTGTATGCTGAGTGTAAAAGTTCCTTTGTAGTATTTCTAACCTCTTGTTGGTTCACTTTGGTCTCCCTCATGGCACACTGTGTCTTCTCAGGCTTTTCCTAGTGATTTAATATTGTCTCCAGTTTGCATTTTTCAAGTTCCAGTTTTTAGAATGTTCTGGGTGGTATGTTATCTTTCTATAAAAGCATTTACGTGGACGTTTTATACTGTGTTAAGTCTCTGGGGAAGCTGGTAGTTTTTAAAGGGTAATGTATTTGTTTTCCTTGGAGGATTCTCAAAGGCACACTATTTCCCACTGTTCTTTTGGAATGTCTTTTTCATTTTGGTTATTAGCTTTAACAAACAGCAGGGTTGTTGCTCTCAAAGATGTAAAGCCTAAAACCAGTTAGAAAGGACAGCTACAGACAAAATTTAGTTGAAAAAAAAATTCAGTGGTTCCTTGTTATCAGTCAAGCACTACCTATGAGTTGTAGTTAATTCACATGTCTCTGTCTTCCACATCAGTTATATTTGACTATCAAGTATACTGTGGGAAGAGAAATCTTTATTTGCATTTTGGATTAGGAGGAATGACAGAGTTACAGCATTCCCAGGGAGAGTAGACTTGAACCAATGCCATCACTCTCTAACGCTCATTCCCCTTTCAATTTTGTATGCTGTGGTTATGTCGTAATTAGATTGCTGTATCCACAGCTCTGGGCCTGAGTATTGTTATAGAATTCAGCATTGGAAAGTACAACAAAATACATAGGGAAGAAAAATGGATACAGGGCTTGGATCATTTCTAAGGGGGATTAAGTGATTTAGAACATGATCTCTAAAGTAAAAAGTATATAGAGGTTGAATACCTTGTTACTTAAATATATACTGAGCTATCCACAGTATGCCTTGTAAAGTCAAGGAGAATCTGAAGTGCTAGTGAGAGTAAATGATAAAGTATGTAGTTATTTCGCCATGTTGCTGTGTATATATTTATATGTATGTATGTGTATACTCGTGTGCTTACACACACACACACACACACACACACTTTTAAAAAATGTGTGGCCAATCAGGTGTTAGGCATGGATGCTTCTCTCCTAATATTTTGGTCCAATTTGGGTTCTTAGAGCCAAATGAGTAAGTTTTAAATGAGGAAAGAGCAACGGTTTAGAGAATGGAAAGGACAAAGGCTTCTTTAGCTTCAGGTTCTTAATAGCAAAAGGGATAAGACATTATATGCTGCCTACTCTTATCAATAGATGGAGATAAAATGTTATTACAGCAGTCTTAGGTTTTTAATAATAATTCACTGAAAACAATTCTCTCCTTCTTGAGTGTAGACATACTAATGAAATGTTCATTTAATTTTCAATATGGCTCCTAAGATGGTATATCTGGTGGTTTATTCAGTGGAGTATGCATAAAGCAAATGTACTGCACAGGGTCTGGTTTTCCAAAGCCTTACAGTTTCAAATATTGACCTTGCAAAAGACAGGAAATTTTCCCCAGGCTATAGTCTCTGTTGTAAGATAAGGAATTGTAACACAGCAAGTTTGCTGGCTCAAAGACAGACAGGCAACTGATTGATATGTAAAGATACTGAGAAATTACTGTAAGAAGAGAATGTTTGCTAAAATCAAGCTTTTATCAGTGGATCAACTTAATTGCATTATAGAATGTCACCTTGCTTGTCTTACTGAATCTTACCAGCTTCTATTGTTAAACTTGTTAAACTATACTTAGCAAAAACCCCACCTATGTTCTCTTCCTGTAACTTCCTGGTCTGGAGAATAAATGCGGGAAGAGAACCCCAATTCGTGGTTAATTTCCCAAATGGAAGGAATGCCTCTATCTTGACGGTTCCGGTAGATTAACCCCTTTTCGAGCTTCTCACTGCTTAGAAGAGATGGGCTTTGAGTAATCTTTGGCAGCTCCATCACTGAGGGGAAAAGGGGTGACAAATCCGTGGAAGGCAAAGCAACATTATCCTACAGCCAGAATACTTTGACCTCAAGTTATTATTAAAATATACATATATACTGCTAAAGTATAACTAAAAAACAATTAAAAAGCATGCCTGACATAATGGGAAGAGAGAGGGATGGATGGGAAAGTAGAGTATAACAGTGATGATGCAAATTAGTTTCAGTTAAGTTTCAAAAGAATCTACTATGTGGTTGAGAGACTTCTGGCCCACAGCCAGTCCCTTCCTCTGCAATGTATTTTCCTATTTGTTCTGATACTCAAGATGTTCTATTCAGCATAACCTACCAAACTACAAAGATTAACAGTGATGAGAGAAAAAGAAAATCCTGAGGGTCTTGATTTATAACAAGGAAGGATTGTGTTTAGGAAAAGTTTCTCAGTGGACTGGAGACACCTCTCATTTTAGCAACTGAAGATACTATAACAGGTACAATCTCTGCGTGGCAGATTTCTTCCAGTGGGCTATTTTTTTTTTTTTTTTTGTCTTTTTCCGTGTCCGGCAACGGATCGCAACCCTCAGTGTCGCCCCTGTACCGGACCGGGACCGGCCACGGGATCGCAACCCTCGGTGTTGCTCCCGCCCCTCACTCAGCCAGTGAGCGGCCGGTCTGCCGGGACCGGCCACGGGATCGCAACCCTCGGTGTTGCTCCCGCGCCTCGCTCAGCCAGTGAGTGGGAACCGGTCCGTATGTGGGATCCGAACCCTCGGCGGGAGCGCCGCCGTGCTTCCCAAGCGGCACACTGTAGCAGTGCGCCACCGGGCCGGCCCTCCAGTGGGCTACTTTAATATTAGTTACCATATTTTAAGACCTGTCTGTAAAACTTAAGTGAAGAAAAATGCTTCAGCCAGACCCTAATCTGTGCTTCAGTGGGAAAAGGCCAGGGGAAAAAAAACCACCAAAAAACCGAAATTAATGGAGCTTCAAATGCATCATTATTGTTCAGCTTACCACCTTGGTGACAGGAAAGCTGGAGGGACCCAAGGTGGTATCAGTATAAATAGCTATTACATTGATTAAATGTGTGTATATAGACACACACTGCTGGTTTTATAACACTGAGTCAGTATACTAAAAAGTTTGGTTGAGTGTAGAGTATTTCCTGGAAGCAGCTGGCCTGCATACCTATGCTCAGTGGCTGTTTTTCTCCCTTGTCTGGTAGATAATGGGTAGCTGTGGAATATTGTGTTTGAAGAGAGACTCTTGACCATAGGATATGTCCACATCTGAGGTGCTGAGGCACCTCTTTGTGGTGACCTTGGCTACAGCTCTGAACCCTTCCCTGCAGGGGAAAAGAAGTATGAGAATAGGTAGGCAGGCACAAGATTAGGTAGGTCCTTGAGGACCATGGCAAACATTACTGCCTTGCCTTGCATCACTCTTCTTAGAGTGCGGCTCAGCTGTCAGCTCAGCTCATTAGAAGGCATTCTCTGAGCATGTGCCCAGGAGGCAGCAGTGTCTGTGGGTCACGACTGATTGACAAAATGGACCTAGCTCTCTTGTCTGGCAAAAGTCTACCAATAAAGGAGGTTGCCCTGTATACCTGAAGACTGGGGCCCTGTGAGACTCTGTGGGCAGTGCTGCGGACTTTGTGTCTAGAAGTGGTATTTCTGAAACTTTAGTGTGGGGGCCAACTGTACTGGGGTGCTTGTTCCAAATGTAGGTTCCCAGTTCCATACCTATTAACTGATTCAATATGTCTGGTATAGTCACTCTGATATATATTGAGATTTGGGAACTCTTGATTTAGCATATCCTTACATGATATACATACTGCAAATGGGGTTCTCTTACTACAGGGATTTTGATTACTGTTTGTCTACTTATTTTACAAATTAATTTATTCAACAAATTTTATCAAATGTCTATACTGTGCCAGATACTGAGCTAGGCATGGAGTTATAAGAATGAACAAGATTGATGTGGTTTTTGTCCTCATGAAATGGAGAGAAAACAAGTAAACAAATTAATAATTATGATAAGAACTATGAAGGACACAACAGAATACTATAATAGACTATAATGGGGGGAGGCACAGTGAGTATTTAAAATAAAAAGATGCTAAGAAGTATAAAAACACTTGTGCAAAGGCACTGAGGCAGGATTAACTTGATCTGTTTCAAAAACAGAAAAAAAGCCAGAGTAGCTGGCCAGCAAGCCAGGGAGAGAAGTATGAGAATAGGTAGGCAGGCACCAGACGATGTAGGTCCTTGAGGACCATGGTAAGGCATGATAGACTGAAAGGGATATGAAATCAGAAGTTTAATTGGAAATATGAGTCTGGAGCTGAGAAGAGAGGGCTGCTTTGGATGTGAATTTGGGAGCCGTCAGCATTTTGATGAAAAGCCACCAGAATGGGGGGTTTAACCTAGGGAGAGGCCATAGAGGGAGAATAGAGGAGGGCCTAGTAAAAGGATACTTAGAGCAGCCAGGGGTTGGTGGAGCTGTGAGGGTAGAAAGAAAACCAGGAGACCATAGGCCTGTGGGAGCCACAAGAGGAGAATGCTCAGGCAGACAGTTGTTTGCATCATTGCTGCTGAGAAGTCTAGAACAGTGCTGTCCACTACTATAGCCACTAGCTGCATATGACGATGAGCACTTGAAATGTGACTAGTGCAAACTAAGTATTTAAATTAAATCCTTTGAAATCAGTTGTCAAATGTAGTTTTAAAAATCTTTTTTAACCTGTATTTTCTTTTTTTTTTTCCTGTCTTTTTTTTAACTTTCATTTTTGTTTTTAATTAATTTTTTTTTTTTTTTTTTTTTTTTTTTTTCATATCTGGCCAGGAAATTTCATGGTGTTATGGTCAACTTGCCGCACAACCGTGTTCAAATCTGTCACCAACAGGTTCATTAAAAACCTGGCCTGCTCGGGAATTTGTGCCAGTCTGGTCTGCGTGCCCTTCGACATCATCCTCAGTACCAGTCCTCACTGCTGCTGGTGGATCTACACCATGTTCTTCTGCAAGGTCGTCAAATTTTTGCACAAAGTCTTCTGCTCTGTGACTATCCTCAGCTTCCCTGCCATTGCTTTGGACAGGTAAGATCAGGTAGCCAGGGGCTCAGTAGTCAATGTTCCATATATTGCTTTTTATCCTGGTTGTTGTTATTGTGGTCAACAGAAAGAGAATGAATGTCCAAAACAGGCACTTTACGAAGGACAGGGTGCTTTAATAGCAGTCCTGGAACAGAACCATTGAGAGAAGACATCATGAGGATGCTGGGCAGAGCTACTAGATCATGGTATCTCTTTAGCTTGGTTGGAATTGGTGGTATTTGCATTGCAGTTTGCAGTAGATTGCTCATCTGATTGATAACTCTGCCATTAGGGCTCTTTGATGCAGGATGAAAACATTTCTGGTTTAGTTGGACCTGGCCAGATAACATCAGAATTCCTTTGGAGGATTTATTTCTAAGGCTTCATATTGTGGTGGCGGTTGTTTTCTCTTCCCACCATCTTTAAAAGGATGGATGTTCATCTGGAAGTAGATCTTATATCTTAGTCTCTGCCATCATACATAATTTGATCAAATGTATCAAAGTTAAGTGTACAGGTCTCAGTAATCAACAGCTTTCTGCCTTTTCTCTTTGCTGTTAGCACTTCATTTTAGAGAACAAATTAAATAAGCAAACAAAAATTGAGAAGTATTTTTGTGTCTGTGAGTACTTTTGATGTCAAGATTTACAGAGAGAAAAAGTTGCTGAAGGGAAAGTGCTGGCTATTCTGACTTTATACTCTATGTTAAAATTTCACTACATTTTTACATGCATTTGAAATTTTAAAACTCTTTGTCCATTCAAAACATACTTGATACCTTAATGAGTTATGAGGGGATTGATTGCAGAACCAATCTGTGTAATCATTACAGCCTCCTAGGCCTGGAACACTGATTTCATCAGCTGCCTGTTGTGGTCTGCATGAAGGGACAGAGTCACGCAAAGCCCCCAGCATACTGGGAGAAGTTGTTACCTTTGTTGTAAAGAGAGTGGACTCTGGAGCCAGAAGTCTGGCCTTGAGTCCTGTCTCCACTGCTTTCTAGTTGGGTGGCTTTGGGCAAAGTTGCTTAACCTTTCTGAGCCTCAGGTTCCTCAGTGATGAGGAAAATTAAATGAATTACTTACGACCTGTGCTTGGATAGGCCACACTAATATTTGCTTCCCTTTCTCTAGGCTTCCCTTCTTTTTTTTTTTTTTTTAAAGATGACCGGGGGCCGGCCCGGTGGCGCACTGCTACAGTGCCCTGTTTGGGAGCGCGGCAGTGCTCCCGCTGAGGGTTCGGATCCTACATACAGACCGGTTCCCACTCACTGGCTGAGCGAGGGGCGGGCGCAGCACCGAGGGTTGCGATCCCGTTGCTGGTCCCAGTCCGGTACGGGCGCAACACTGAGGGTTGCGGTCCGTTGCCGGACATGAAAAAAGACAAAAAGGAAAAAAAAAAAAAAGATGACCGGTAAGGGGATCTTAACCCTTGACTTGGTGTTGTCAGCACCATGCTCAGCCCGTGAGCTAACCGGCCATCCCCATGTGGGATCCGAACCCGGGGCCTTGGACATGAAAAAAGACAAAAAGGAAAAAAAAAAAAAAAAGATGACCGGTAAGGGGATCTTAACCCTTGACTTGGTGTTGTCAGCACCATGCTCAGCCCATGAGCTAACCAGCCATCCCCATGTGGGATCCGAACCCGGGGCCTTGGTGTTATCAGCACCACACTCTCCCGAGTGAGCCACGGGCCGGCCCTAGGCTTCCCTTCTGATTGGCACTTGCTTCTTTAGACGTATTGTCTGCAATCATTTTACATTTATATATGACATCTTGCTGGGAGCCACTCCAGCTCTTTAGAAGGGACTAGAATTTCACCATTCACAGGGATAGACAGGGAAGGTGACAAAGTCAAGTAACATGGGGCCAGGTTGGAGTTGCAGTGCATGAAGAGTGTGCCCACATTCCCTTTCTCAGGGGTCAGCCACTCAGCAGATGCAGCTAATAGTTGCTTTATGGGTATCTAGACTCCAGTGGACAGAACTTTCTATTTTTTTTTTTAGAAGAGGAAAAAAAATCCAGAATTCTATCATTTTTAAATGTTGGCAATTAATTTTCATCCAAAAAGAATATTATGTGGGCCATCCATATCTGTTCAGCAAGCCATGAGATGCCAATTTGCCATGCCTGGTTTATGGTGACTTTGCCTGTCTCTTGCATTGCTCAACAAGAGGTCTTTGAATATCTGGAATGTGCAGTTACACAGGACTGGACTACAACAGTGAAAAGTCAGAGTCCTTTCCTCAAGTTTACATCCCAGCGGGTGCTTTAATGCATTTTGTGTTGAACCATTAAGGCAGTTTTGAGATATAGTTTATATATTATAAAATTCACCCATTTAAAGTGTACAAATCAATGAATTTTAGTGTATTTATAGAGTTGTACAGCCATCACCACAATCTAATTTTAGAATATTTCCATCAAACACAAAGAAACCTCATGCCCATTTACAATCACTCTCTATTTCCATCCCAGGACGGGCAACTGCTAATTTACTTTATCTCTGTATGTTTGCTCTTTTTTTGGACATTTTATGTAAGTATAATCATAATATGTATTCTTTTGTGTCTAGCTGCTTTCACTCAGCATGTTTTCAATGTTCATTCATGTTTTAGCATGTATCAGTATTTCATTCATTTTTATGGCCAAATAGTATTCTAGTAGGGGTATACCACATTTTGTTTCTCCAATTACTAGTTGATGGACATTTGAGTTGTTTCTACTCCTTGGTTATTGTGAATAATACTGCTATGTATCCTGAAAGTAAGTTTCTTAAGAATAGCGTTCAACAAGAGTGGGAGCACATTATTCTGAAGAGCTTGCTGTTATACCTGAAGCAATGCAGTAATCCCCGTGGGTTATTTCTGGGCCCTTGGTCTTAGACAAAGAAATATGCAAACAGTAAGAAATTCTTATTTTCTTTCCAGCAGAAAAACTATTGTATGTTATCAGCACTTTTTACAAAGGTAAACAAGTTCTTTTAGTAGAAAAACAAGACTGGTAAATTCCTGTTTTATTATTCAGAGAAACACATTATGTGCAGACGTCAGTACGGTGCACAGGAAGAAGGGAAGATAATCCTTTCTCTCACTTCTTTTGCAGCTATGTGTTTCATGGCACCAAGTCAGCAAGTTTATTGGGAGGCCACCTGTACTTCCTGTAGCATCTTCTAGAGATGTACACATTAAGAAATTATTTATAAGGAACCTGTATGCTTGTGTTGCAGTCTATTTCCCAATACATAACAGGATTGGAAATTAATGAAAGCCTGGGTCTGTTACATGCAGTGAGCAAATGGTAATCAGAGCCAGTGGGTTCCTAGGCATGTATGTATGTGTGGGGATGAGGTCATCACATATTTATACAGTTGCGATTAGGAAAGTTTATCGAAATTCAGAGAAAAAAAATTGAGAACATGCATTACTTAGGCACTTCTTTCTCTTTTTTCCCCTCTCAGAAAGAGATCTAGAACACATTGCACTGTGTTCCATCCTTCCCCAATCATCCATGGCCACTGTTGTGTTTGCTTCACATCTCCCCCAGCTTTTCCCCCTGCCAGACTCCACCACAGTGCCACCTTCTCTTTGATATTTTCTCAGGTAGCTTTAGGTGCCCCCTGTCCTATATCTCCCTGTGCCTGCCTCCAGGAGAGCCTCCGTCATCTCCTTGTTTATAACTGTTCATGTGCATGTCTTTCTTCCCATTCAGTTTGGAGGCATTCCTATGTGTCTTTTCATCTTTGTAACCCAGTGCCTGGCACAGGACCTGGCACATAGGTGGCGCTCAGAAATGCATGTTACAGGAAGGCATGCATGCTTACCTGGCCCCATGAATAAATGAATTACACTAAAGTAGTAAAGTCAACTTCAGCATTAGCTTACTGCTAAGACATGGGTCGAAACTTATCTTATCTCTGGTGGCTAGTGGCAGCCCTTTCATGAAAGATACAGTTTTAGAGTCTGAAGAATTACTCGGTTCCCCCAGATCATTGGTGATGTTGAAACAAAGTGCTTTTGCAATTGTTTTTAGGTGGTAAAAAAATAAATTAAACCTGGGAAGGAAAAAAAGGCCTCATCTGATTTTAAAGAAAATCTAAGTGTGCAGGCATTTTAGACCTATTAATTGCTCTTAGTGTTACTGAAAGATTATCATGGGAGCATTGGCTATTGAGCAGGCATAGCTTTTATCATCTGAATTTATTTTGTGGAAGGCCTTTTTAGAGTCCATCCTTCATACTGGGCTCTTCTGTCCTGCACATCTTTAAATGCTAATGATATCCAGTGCATAGACTGTAGCAATAGTCTGGTTTGGATATGTATGTAGACACATTTCTTTCTCTTAGTGGCTTTGAAAACTACCCTAAAGCATCTCCAGCCCATGTAAAATTTTTACAAGTTATGCTTCACCTTTAAATTGAAAAGGAGATGTTTTTACAGCAGATAAAGACATCTTTTATATTGAGAGCACTCTTTGGGATTTATTCCCAGTGGCAGTAAATATCAAGCTATCTATGAGTTGAAATTATTTTCTTTTTTCCTGATAAAGAAAGAGACTTGAGAATCTCATGAAGACAGGGCTTTTCTCTGCTCCCTTGGAAAGTTTTTTTTTTTTTTTTTTTTCCATCTAGTGATGCCTCTCATTGTATGGCAAAGTCCTTAAAGCTTAAGATCTGGCTTCCTGGATTCCTCCAGTGTTTCCCTGTGTCTCAGGCTGTATAAAAGAAGTTGACCCTTTTTTCCCTCTTGCCTACTAATTTAGACTCCCCTAATTTAAAGAGTGTCCTCTGTGAAATTAATTTTATTTGTGTATCTTGCAGGTACTACTCAGTCCTCTATCCACTGGAGAGAAAAATATCTGATGCCAAGTCCCGTGAACTGGTGATGTACATCTGGGCCCATGCAGTGCTGGCCAGTGTCCCTGTGTTTGCAGTGACCAACGTGACTGACATCTATGCCATGTCTACCTGCACAGAAGTCTGGAGCAACTCCTTGGGCCACCTGGTGTACGTTCTTGTCTATAACATCACCACAGTCATCGTGCCTGTGGCTGTGGTGTTCTTCTTCTTGATACTGATCCGACGGGCACTGAGTGCCAGCCAGAAGAAGAAGGTCATTATTGCAGCACTCCGGACCCCACAGAACACCATCTCTATCCCCTATGCCTCCCAGCGGGAGGCCGAGCTGCATGCCACCCTGCTCTCCATGGTGATGGTCTTCATCTTGTGTAGCGTGCCCTATGCCACCCTGGTTGTCTACCAGACTGTGCTCAATGTCCCTGACACTTCTGTCTTCTTGCTGCTCACTGCCATTTGGCTTCCCAAAGTCTCTCTGCTGGCGAACCCTGTTCTCTTTCTTACTGTGAACAAATCTGTCCGCAAGTGCTTGATAGGGACCATGGTGCAGCTGCATCACCGGTACAGTCGCCGTAATGTGGTTAGTATAGGGAGTGGGATGGCTGACGCCAGCCTGGAACCCAGCATGCGCTCTGGCAGCCAGCTCCTAGAGATGTTCCACATTGGGCAGCAGCAGATCTTTAAGTCCACAGAGGATGAGGAAGAGAGTGAAGCCAAGTACATTGGCTCAGCTGACTTCCAGGCCAAGGAGATACTTCCCACCTGCCTGGAGGGAGAGCAGGGGCCACAGTTTGTGCCCCCTGCACTACCCCTGGGCACAGTGGACTCTATATCCCAGGTAGCACCAGCAGCCCCTGTGGAACCCGAGACATTCCCTGACAAATATTCCCTGCAATTTGGCTTTGGGCCTTTCGAGTTGCCTCCTCAGTGGCTCTCGGAGACCCGTAACAGCAAGAAGAGGCTGCTTCCCCCCTTGGGTAACACCCCAGAAGAGCTAATCCAGACAAAGATGCCCAGGGTAGGCAGGGTGGAGCGGAAGATGAGCAGAAACAATAAAGTGAGCATTTTTCCAAAGGTGGATTCCTAGCAAGGATCGTAAATTCCTGGAAGCAACAGGGAGCTTCTACATTCTAACCCTCCCTTCACTCGGGCTGTATGATTTGTCTGATCTCATTGCAACCCACTACAGATTGATTCCTCCTGTATGGGCCAAATGTTTTTGAGTGAAAGGGAAATCTATATAAAATCAAATATCTTCTTTATTGAGGGATGATATATATTTATCACAGTGACCCATGTCCTTAGTAAAGTCCACACTCCTCTCTGTGGGATGAGAGCCAGGCAGTTTGGCACAGCTCTTGGGGGAGGGGGGTGCTCCATGTACGTTTTCTGGAGAGCTCTCATTTCCCTGTGCTCAGCAGAGAACAAATGGAGAGAAAAGTGTCCACCAGCTCAAGAGAGCAGAGATAGTCTAAGGATATATGGAGATTCCAGGATAATTATGGAGCTGTGTGGCCACTGTGAAAATGCCTATTTAATTAACTTAAATATGACAAATAGGAAAACCTTTTATATTGAGAAAGTAGGGACTTTGCATCTGACGTCATTTCCCTAGAAGCCACAATCATATGACTCACTTTTTTTCCCGATATGTTTTGTCCGTTCTCACTGTAATATATGTAAGGAATGACTGTTCCACCCCTATTTGACAGATATGGCAATAGATGTGCCCAGAGGGAAAGAGAGGTATTTTGTCTTTGGTTATCCTGACATTCTCTTGGCATCATGAAGGACTCAGAAAGATATACCTGTACCCTCCAGACATGGTCAGTGTTGGTTGGAAAACACTGCAAGCTCTTCACTGTGTCTTGCCCCCTAAATTGTGTTTTCTCAGCAAATGGGAGAGAAGCTTAGAGGTGGAGAAGAAAGACTGAGAAATGCCCACGACACTGTAGTCTTTTCTCTTCCATGTGATCTCACGTGAAAGGTGCTATGTAACAATCAGCATGAGTACAGTATATTGAAAAAAATATCTTATGCAAACTTTTGGAATTAAAAGGTAATTTAAAAAATGCAAAGTTAGTGCAAGCTGCATCCTTTGGGAACATCAAGCTAAAGATACTTGATTAGGAAGGGTGATTCTGCCCAAAAGACTGGCAAAAGTCTGACAAAGATGACTCCATTCTATTGAAGACTCAAGAACCCTGGCGTGGCCAGTCTCATTTTCAGTCTGTTTGTACGACTGTGGTTCTCCCTTCATTTTGGACACAGAGGAGAAACAGAACAGGGAGAAATAATTAATCATTTTAAAACTCCAAGGCAACTGCTAGCTCAGGTGAGCTCTTCACTTCCTCCTTCTAGTGAAGTTTTGGTAGGAGCCAGGGTGGGTGGGGAGGGAGGGCAGTGTCCTCACCTGATCAGTCCTTGGAGCGATTCGAGTCCACTCTGAGGTAGATTTCGCCAGGCTGAATTTGAACCACAGATGACATTTCACTTCCAGTGAGGGCAAATCCAGTGCCAGCTCCACTTTCTCTCTAAGGCGTTTTGTTCTTATTAATGGTGCCTGGGGGAGCCAATCAGTTCTTTGAGTGAACTTGAGGGGAAGTGGTGTCCTCACTGGCAAATTCCACATCCCCAGGGCAGTGGTCCTAATGCATCCCCTCCTTTAACCACACTGGCCCCTTGTCCCTTGGAGGAAGCTCAGACTATGTGTAGGGAGTTTCCTTTCTCTTTCTTCTCTTGGGTGTGCTGTCTTGTAATTCCTGAACATAAACCCAAAGACCCTACCCCTGGAGAGGGAGCACTTTCCTCTTTGTGTTTGTCTCCTGCGGTGTCCTTGGCTCACAGTAGATACAGGGGACTGCCACATCCTCTTGTGGCTCCCCTGCCTCCCGCACCCTGTGTGCATGCCATCTGTAGCTCCTTGCCCCAACAGCTAATGTTGTGGTCCTTCAAGCTTATCTTTCAAAACCTTCACGATTGTTACAACTTTTATCAAAGGGAAAAATAATCTGTCAGAAAACTGTCCATTGTTCTGATAATGTATATGTACAACTTAATAAATTGTGATGGCAGAATTTGGTTGGGTATATTTCTCATGTGTGTTTGAAGCAGATGGTTGACTTCTAACAGGTCGTTGCCAGGTGTATTTCTATACTCTTTGAAGAATAACATTTTAATAAAAAGTTGAAAAGCAGTTTCTGAACTCAAAAAAAGTTGTGTAGCTGTTTTTTCCCCGTCTTTTTCCTCTCAAGTGGTATACTGTCTGAACCTCTCTCTTCCTGTGTGGTCTCAAATGAAAGATAGTCATGTTTCTTCCATAAATGCACATGCAGCATTGCAGTAACATTTTCTTGTGTTGTTGCAATTAAAAGAAAATGAATTTTCAAAGGAGAAATTGCAATATTTGAATAAATTTTACAGAGAGGGTTCCAAAGCGAATGGATTCCCCAAACCTTTAGGTGGAGCTACACAGGGAAAGAGTGGAGTGTGGCCGTCATCATCCTTCATGTGGGAGGGGCAGTAGAGGTTAGGGCCATGAGCTTTGAGGTCAGATTGCCCACGTTCGAGTCCTGCTCCACCACTGACTAGCCTTGTGACCTTGGGCAAGTGAGATGACCTCCATGTACATTGGTTTTCGCTCTGAAAAATGGGGGCATAGTAATTGTGTCAGAAGCTTCTGTTGCCCCGACTCACACAGTTCACACAGTTCACCGGTGACTTCAGCCGTGTCTGCCGTAGGCCTCTGCAATCTACATCAACTCACTTCCCTGCAAGCAGTTAAAACCTAGCTTGCTTTCTCCCCTGGGAGAGCTCCCTCACTCTGGGGTAACCTGTGGAGCACAGGAACCAGAGGAGAAATGCTCCTGCTTCCTGCCCTTCTGCTGGACGATTGTGGGAAGCATCAGTCCAAGCAAAGTTAAGTCCCTGTTGCCTGCTGATAGAGTTTGGATATGTTGTCCCCACCCCAAATCTTATGTTGAAATATAACACCCAATATGGCAATGTTGGGAGGGGTTTGGGTCATGGCGGGGCGGATCTGTCATGAATGGATTAATACCCTCCCTGCGCAGAGGGTGGGTAGTGTGTTCTTACTCTGTTCCGCCAAGAGCTGGTTGTTTAAAGGAGCCTGACACCTCCACTCCTTCTCTCTCTCTTGCTTCCTCTCTCGCCATGTGTTCTTGCACCCACTGGCTGCCTGCTATTTTCTGCTGTGAAAAGAAGAGGCCCACACCAAATTACCCAGTTTCAGGTAGTGTATTACAGCAACACAAAAACAGATGAATACCACATGGTGGCTAAACAACACATCCTTATGTTGCCTCTACCTCCTGCTTCTCTGTCTCACCTTCAGCTGTCATTCTTGCCCTCAGGGATCACCTCCCAAAAATACTACCTGCAAAAACCCCTTGTCTCAAGCTCTGTTTTCAGGGGAATTCAAGTGAGACACTAATATACCTCATGGGGCTCTTGTGAGGATTAAATGAGATGATCTGTTTAACACAACGCCTGGCACAGAGCAAAGCTGTATCAATGTTAGCTACATTAAAAAAAAGTGATTAGGGAGTTTATTTGGAATGCTCTTTGGTAAACTATATTAACTGGTCTTTCTGTCAATTATTCCAACACTAATTAATATTCATGATGATGTTACTTTGCAGTAGTACATAATGCTAAATAGAACTGTTTGACTCCCTGAAGAACAAATAACTGCATAAGCCAGAGTATTTCTTAACTAGGCAATTCTGTTTAAAAAAAAAAAAGAGGATGTTAAAAAAAGTTGAACTTTGCTGCAAACCTATAAGCCATATCTGAATATGAATGGACATGATTTACTATATCGATGAAGTAAGAGTAGAGCAGAGTATATTGAATATCTAAGGCAGAGGTAAAATCCAGAGTGGCTGCATCCATGAAAAGGAACTGTGAGTTAATCACTTGGTGTACTAAACATCTGGAGTTCAAGCAAAAGTCTGATTCAGCTGGAGAGAAATGCTATTGCTCCATCTCTGCTTGGGGCGCTGAGCTCCTGGCAGACCTGCATCTGTGTGGGGTGGCTTCTGATGCTGCCACACATCAGATCTAAGATGTTAAAGGAAAAGAGCTTATTTCAGGCTGAATTTTGGTGGAGGGGAAGGGCTAATCCTTTTATATTGTAGTCTACCAGTATATCAATATACAATGTAAATAGCACTATGGCAAAGGGATTAACTTCCCCCAAATAGTTGTAAAAATTTAGCAGGTATATATCACAACTAATGTGCTATATTAGAGTTTCTGTAGCTGAAATAAAAATGAATCACGGTAAATGACCTGGGAATATGTGAATAAAACAAGAATTAAAATCAATACCAATGCCCAGGGCTGTATCAAAAGCCTTCCTGTGCGAGACCTTTAAAATAAATTGAAACAGTCTTAGATTCTCCATACATGACATTTCAGAAGCTAAAATATCTCCTCTTCTCTAAGCCTCAGGTTCAACCAGCATTTTCCCCATTTCTGCCAAGGGTATAAGTTAGTTAATTGGCAGAATAAAGGCTTGGAAACCTTCAGAGAAATGAAACTATGATCTCCAGCATTATTTTATGTGAACCTCTATGGCCATTTGTGTTCTGGGGATTCGGAGCCTCTTAAAGCCAAACTTAAATGAAAGAATGATAAATGAATGAGTAAATAAGAGATACAGCACCTGGAGCAGTGGCAAAATCCCTGTGACATATGAGCTGATGAAAGATTTGCTGTCAGTAGAGTTATTGCTGGCTGTTATTGATTTCCTTGGAATGACTCCTGCAAGGGTTAAAGACATCAAATGCAAGGTCTTTGATTTGCCTTCTTCAAACACCCACTCTTTGCTTTAAATCACTAGAGTAAGTTTTAAGCCTGGAAGGGAAGTTCAATACTCAGAAACATAGTTCCAGAGATAAGTGTTGGAAGTGAAGAATAATCCTTTTTTCAGAAATATCGACCAGCATTTAGTGACTAAATCTTTCTGGCCCCCACCTTTTGTATGCTTATTCACTGCAGTCCATGTAAAAAATGTACTATCACACAAAGAAAGTTCTGGAAGGAACAAGTTGTGTACATTCTAAAGCAATAGGTGAGAAAATATAATATGTGTGAGGTAATGCTGTTGAAATATTAATTGTATTCCCTCTGCATCTAATTTCTTTTCTCCCTTTTGCCTTGCCCTCTCATTCACATGCATTGCCTGGAGGTGGGGTAGGGTGGAGGGGACTTGGCATTCATTGCCTCAAGGGAAGGCAAGTAGCCTTTGAATCTCTTCCTGGTTTTTGTGTATCAAAACCTAGGTCTTAGGAGAACAGAGGGGATTCTTAGGGTTAGCCCAGTGGCTTTTTGGTAATGATTGTCAAGAACTGGGGGATACTCCAGGCATCTATTGGGTAAAGGCCAGGGATGCTACTAAGTACCATGCAATGCACAGGACCACCCTCCACAACAAAGTATTGTCTGGACCAACATATCAGTCACGCTAAGGTTGAGACACTCTGGGTTAGCAAAAGGTTTGAGGTGGTTTGAGGGGGGTGGACCATCTCCCTCCAGTAGAGAAAGCTCCCCTGGAGATGAAGATGGTAGAAAGAAGAGAAGCCAGAGGTAAGCGATGAGAGTGTAGACAGCTGTGCATTCTGGATAAACGCGCCCTAGCCTGCCTCCCAGGCAAAGCCCCAAGGATACAGCAAAACAAAGATTCATGCAGTTGCAAAGGGAACCTGTGAGTGTGGTGCTGATAACACCAAGATCCAGGGTTTGATCCCTCTACCAGCCAGCCACCAAAAAAAAAAAAAAAAAGAAAAGAAAATTGTATTTTTTTACATTGAATTTGTGGACTGAAGCAATTGGTTTGTTTTCAGACCTTGAAAAGGCAATTGGACGTTAGGGCCCTTTTCAACTTTGAAATTTTATGATTCTATAGCCTGTTCTTATTCTACACAAATACATGCTTATAAAAAAATCTTATAATTTGTTTCGGCTTTCCCCTACCAGATTTCTCATTCCCCTCTTGCATTTTCTCCTTTGGTAGGTTTCATGAAGGAAACTTGATGTAAATAGTTTTATGTAATACTATCCTATAGTCCATATAGAATTAAACTCTGGCCTTCTGCCTCCAAGTTATTTCTCTCAGAGGAAAATTTAATGGAATGGCATGATTATTTCAAAGGCAAATGATGAGATAAACCTCTCTTCCTAAATTCAGCCCTTGAAAGATAATACTAGGACTCTAGCCAGTTTTAAATATAGGTCAAATTATGAGCACAGATCTGGAGAAACTGAGAAAATTGAAACTGCATTGGAAAGGAAAACATACCTAAAAATTTGATCAAGTTTTTTGTTGGTTACTGGGAGTTGATTTTGGGAAAGTCACTGTGAAGACTACTCTGAACATACAAGAGTGCCTTTTCATGAACACGTGTCATACACTGTAGCAGATGCTGTTACTCACCTCCTAAACATCTGTCTTCCCTCCTTCTTCCTCACCGAGTCTACCCCATCCTCCGCTCCAGGGGTGGATCCTGGTTAGAGGAAACTAACTAGTGCGTGGTTTTCCCTCCCTGGCAGTCTTATTGGTCTGGGATGTGTATGTACTCTGAGTTGACTGACTGATCAGACTGAAGGATTTATATTCCACGAATGGTTTATCAGTTTGTTTCTCCTGCTAGATATGAATGAGGAAGCACATAGACCAGAACTTTTTCTTGTGGCCACCTCCACCTTATGACTGTAAAACAAGATGCTCAATAAAAATAGAACTTTTCAGTCAGGATTGTGACTGAAATCCCAAACTGTGGAACAGAGGTGCTAAAATTCTCTCCTTTATGTGATCAGTGAGAAGCAGCAGAATGCACTCTGCTGCCCCAGCCCTTTCCCCTGTCCCCACTACAAGCCAAGGCTATTTATAGAGAAAACAGAAGACATTGAAAGAATTGTCTAGGTCATTAGAATCTGCTCAGTGGAAAATGTAAACCTGGCCTTTTTTCCCTCAGTTGGATATCTGCTTAAGGGGTGGATGTGGAGAACCATCCTGCTATAGGCAGCAGCATGGGAGCCTGAGGAGCGACACCCCTTGTTCAGCTGGGCTGAGGGGGATCCCGCGTGTGTGGCACGGCTCTGTGGGTTTCTTGTCTGTTCACCTTTTGTTACTTGACAAAGCTTTCCAAAATTAAAAGGTCCAACCTTTTGGCTTAGTATGGCTTTGGGG